GAGTTTACCGTGGTTTGAGAGAAGAAAGTATGATGGGGTATGAGAGACAAAGGCGTAAATGGAGGTAGAGGTCAGATCACGGTGGCCTGCAAGGTCCTATATACAAGTAGTCAAAATGTCACGACAGGTTTTTGAGTAGGGAAGCATAGTGGCCTTGTATCGTCTTGCGCCCCTCCCTTTTTCCCCTTCTGGCCACAGTCCTGCCCTTCAGAGTGTCTGGTTCAAAATGGGGCTGCCACCTTTTTACAGGCCCCACCTCCCGGGTTACAGTGATTGGTCTAGGAGTGGGTGCCTGATTTGGCTCAATCAAAATGAGCTGTCTCCTGGGATATTTGAACTAAAGACCTGCAAGATCTAGTCTCAGTTCGTCTCAGAGCTGCATGTTGTCCAGTGTAACCATAGGAACTGCTGAGATTGTATGAGATCATAGGCTGTGGAATCAGACAGTGGGAATTCCAATCCTTGCTCTAGTACATATTCATTATGAAACAGTGAACAAACCACTTAACCTCTTACAGGCTCAGCTTTCTCATCACTAAATTGGAGATACAGGTACCCCTGGAGGTATTTTTAATTACTTCCACAGTACCTGACACATGGTAAGTTTTAACAATGGTGAGGGAGGAAACATTTGGATGTTTCCAGTCAAATCAGAGGAATCAATGAGTCTTGTCTACCAATAAGATATAGAGGTTGGAAGATGGAGGATGGGGGTGAAGCCAGGACGGCTCTAGGTATCTGGTCTAAGCAAGAGAACTGATAACAGTTGATATTTGGGTTTGACTTTAAGGGAACTGTGGCCTTTCTAGATGGAAAGAGGTACAGTGGCATCTTGGAATTTCTAAAATAAAATATATATGTAATATCTTTTAAAAGTCATCTGCCTGGAAATGGAGACGAATCCTTTACTTGATTTATGTACATTTGATTGTCACATCCACCTCACAAAGTAGGTGTTATTATCGTGCCCATTTTATAGAATAAAAACAGGTTCAGAGAAGGTAAGTAACTTTCCCCAATGGTAAAGCTTGTGAGTCTCAGAGGCAGGATTTGAACCCAGGCCTGTCTGACTAGAGATCCATCCCCTTTATTACAGAGTGTTTCTCCTGTGTTGCCTGGAAGTGTGAGTAAAAGCTGACAGCATGTGCCATGTGCTTCAGCCCTAACTCTGTCATTTATTATATTGGACAAATTACTTATTTATGCCTCAGTTTTGATGTTAGAAGTGGAGGTAATAATAGGACTTTCTTCCTAGGAGTTTATGAAAATTTAATACTTAGTTAATATGTGCAGAGTGCATAGAACATGGTCTATCACATACTAATGACATCATTAAATGGGACAGGATGAGACTTTATGTATTTATTTATTTAATTTGTGAGACAAGATCTCACTCTGTTGCCCACGCTGGAGTACAGTGGCACCGTCTTGGCTCACTGCAGCTTCGACCTTCCCCAGGCTCAAGTGATCCTCCCATCTCAGCCTCCTGAGTAGCTGGGACTACAGGCAAGAACCACCATGCCTGGGTAATTTTTGTACTTTTTGTAAAGACAGTGTTTTGCCATGTTGCCCAGGCTGGTCTCAAGCTCCTGGGCTCAAGCAATCTGCCCACCTCGGTCTCCCAAAGTGTTGGGATTACAGGAGTGAGCCACCGCATCTGGCCCAGGGTGGGACTTTAAACAGAAAAGGGACATGAGCATGGAGCTCTGGCCTGAGCAGGAGTGAACAATGCTACATTGAAGAGAGAACATTAAAGGAGACCCAGCTCTTGGAGTGAGGCCTTAAGCTTTGGGAGTGAAATAGTGACCTCCCATTAAAATCCCTGGAGTCACAAGGAGAAACAGAATTCTAGAATTGGACCTAAATTTGTTCATTCTTATTTTCCTATTTTTGGCTACCTGAAGAAACCAACAATATTTGATCCCTAGGTATTTTGAAGTTCACTATAAATAATATCACTTGGTTTAGAAAAGTGTTTATTCACTTCCTCAGAGAATGGATTATCTAATTACATGTCTGTGTTTACATGGAACAGGTAGTCCAGTCCATGAAAGTGTGAGAACCATGAGCCTAGTCTCGATCTCAGGAGTCACCTGAGGAGACTGACGCTAAAAATCCAAGTCGCTAATCAAAATATTAGAAAAATCAACTCATGTTCTAGACTTGGAAGCCCAACACTTACATCAACTCTCTCTGAGCAGAGCTAGCTGTTGGCCCCTACAGGTGACAGTGACGTTCTGACACAGGAAAGGTCAACAGGTGTCCCAGGACCGTATCCACCTGGTTAGAAGCTCTGCTGGGTTTGGTCTGGGGGAGACCCACTGCCTCAAGAGAATTTACTACAGGGAAAGTCCCCTGGTTAACCATGAAGATGTGATATGTTATGTCAGCATGAAGATAGAGGGATATCGTAGAAGACCTTATGGGGTTTGTAATGGGGAAGGTGGGCAGGGGAGGTGGGAATAAATGTTGCAACAAAGTACAAAATATCTTTTCTCTCTTGTGTGTGTGAAAATGTGCTCTGTGGGGCACTAAAATCCTACCGGTGTACCTCCATGCCCTTCCGAGATGAGCTCCGGGAGATGTATTTTTGTGTTGCAGTCAACATGCTGATAATCATCTGCATCATGGATCATGTACCTAAGGCTGAAAAACAGCAGCCTTTTCTATCCCATCATGGAAAGGGCATTTTGAACCACATAGGCTATGTCCTTGGTAATAAACATCGAAATAACCATTTGAATAAATTATATGTGTGTAGCATGTGATTTTACAGAATGCTTCCACATGTGTTATCTCATTTAATTCCATTTTTGTACAAATGTGTTATACACTTGGGTAATTCTCTGAATTCTCTGCATTTCACGCATTTGGGGTAGGGGCAGAGAGGTAATGGCACTCAGATGACATCAGGGCCTGTTTGCTCTATGGCAGTAATGAGCATTTGTAGGGCACTTCACAGTTTGTGTAGAGCTTAAATGTACTTATTAGACCTCATCTGATCCTCACAGTAACTTTATGAGGTAAGATGGATATTGTTCCTACCATAGACTTTAATGCATAATATTAACTGTCTTTGCTTCTCTGCATCTAACTCTAGACTGCAAGTTCCACAAGGATTATCGCTTTTTGATATATTTTTTACTGTTTCATCACAGTGCTCAGTAACTCTTTGTTTAAGTGACTTTGATAGCATTATAATTGCCCCCATATTTGTGATCAATGAAGAAACTGAGGCTTTCAGGATTTATCTTGCCCAAGGTCACACAACTGGGAGTGAAAGCCCTAGAATTCACATCTTGTCACTGTCACTGCCTATCCAAATGGTCACAAATTGAGGCTCTCTGGCTGGTAAGAAGTCCCTTTATCCTGCTATAATTTTCTTGGTGGCTCTGTGTCATTATACTGGACTCAGTTTCCCCTCAAGCAGGTGCAGATGCAGATGACATAGGACATCTATAGCTGTAGACCTTTGCTTAGGCTAGACTCTGAAAGATTTGAAACCTTAGGGAGAGAGGTGGAAAAGAGTTGGGGAGGCAGTGGCAACGATTTGAAAACTACAACCAATTTTCTCTCTCCTAGGAGTTGGAGACTTGGAATCCCCTTTGGTGCAGAAACTATTCCTTCATGAGAAGTCCTTAAATAGGCTCTTTAGGTAAGAGATATAAGAGATATAAAGCAAATGCCCTGTGGGAAAAAACTGAAGGAATCCAAATATAGGTAGTTTGGCTCAGAAACATGTTTCTGTTTTGTAATACATGTTATTATGTGCATAGCTCCTTGATGGACAGCAATTGATTTTTCTTCTGGCAGGGGCAGGTGAAATATATAAATGAAAACACCACTCTTATTTCTTGGCATGGAGAGGACTATATTTGCCAACCTCTCTGCCATGTAACTGGGTTTTAGCCTAAGGGATGTAGGCAGACATGGCGGGCACCTCCTTATTAAAGATCTGGTCATAATCATCTCTACCATCTCTTCTTTTTCTTGAAAAGAGAAGAGGCCACATTTTGAAGGCAGCAGGGTCACAAGATGGAAGAACCAGGGTCCTTGCATCATCGGTTGGCTTCAAGTTGCCAGGGGCAGCCTAACCCACATGGAATTGTGACATAAGAAACAAAGCAACTATTGTTTTATTAAATCAATGAGATATTGGGCTTCTTGTTATAGCAACTAGTATAAATTGCCCTGACTGATACATTATGGATTTAGAATGCACTGTACTACAACTGTTTATTGTATTTTCAAAAACAGGTTTATTGTGGTATAATTGACTTACAATAAACTTCATATATTTAAAGAGTACTATTTAATAAGTTCAACATATTTGTATATCCATGAAAGCATCACCACAATCAAAATAAGACACATTTCCATCAACTGAAAAAGCCTGCTCATTCTCCTTTGAAATCTCTTCTTCCATAACTACAAACCACTGCTCAAGGAAATAAGAGAGGACACAAATGGAAGAACATTCCATGCTCATGGATAGGAATAATCAATATCATGAAAATGGTCATGCTGCCCCCAGTAATTTATAAATTCAATGCTATTTCCATTAAACTACCATAGATGTTCTTCACAGAATTAGAAAAAAAACTACTTTAAAATTCATATGGAATCAAAAAAGAGCCCTTATAGCCAAGACAATCCTAAGCAAAAAGAGCAAAGTTGGAGGCATCACACTACCCAACTTCAAACTATACTACAAAGCTACAGTAACCAAAACAACATAGTACTGGTGCAAAAACAGACACATAGACCAATGGCACAGAATAGAGAGCTCAGAAATAAGACCACACATCTACAACCATCTGACCTTCAACAAACCTGATAAAAACAAGCAATGGGGAAAGGATTTCCTATTTAATAAATGGTGCTGGTAAAACTGGCTAGCCATAGGCAGAAAACTGAAACTGGACCCCTACACCTTATATAAAAATTAACTCAAGATGGATTAAACGCTTAAATGTAAAACTCCAAACTATAAAAACCCTAAAAGAAAATCTAGGCAATACCATTCAGGACATAGGCATGGGCAAAGATTTCATGACTACAACATCAAAAGCAATTGCAACAAAAGCAAAAATTGATAAATGGGATCTAATTAAACTAAAGAGCTTCTGAAAGAAACTATCATCAGAGTGAACAGACAACCCTACAGAATGGGAGGAAATTTTTGCAATCTATCCGTCAAAGGTCTAGCATCCAGAATCTACAAGAAACTTAAAGAAATTTGCAAGAAAAAACACACAATCCCATTAAAAAGTGGGTAAAGGATATGAACAGACACATCTCAAAAGTAGACATGTATGTGGCGAAAAAACATGGAAAAAAGGCTCAATATCACTGATCATTAGAGAAATGCAAATCAAAACCACAATGAGATACCATCTCATACCAGTCAGAATGGCAATTATTAAAAAGTCAAGAAACAGATGCTGGCAAGGCTGTGGAGAAATAGGAACACTTTTATACTGTTTGTGGGAATGTACATTAGTTCAACCATTGTGGAAGACAGTGTGGCGATTCCTCAAAGATCTAGAACCAGAAATACCATTTGACCCAGCAGTCCCTTTACTGGGTATACACCCCCCAAAATATAAATCATTCTGTTATAAAGGTACATGCATGCGAATGTTCATTGCAGCACTATTCACAATAGCAAAGACATGGAATCAACCCAAATGCCCATCAATGATAGACTGGATAAAGAAAATGTGGTACATATACACCATGGAATATTATGCAACATAAAAAGGAATGAGATCATGGCATTAGCAGGGGCACAGATGGAGCTAGAAGCCATTATCCTCAGCAAACTAACACAGGAACAGAAAATCAAACACTGCACATTCTCACTTCTAAGTGGGAACTGAACAATGAGAACACATGGATGCAGGGAGGAGAACAACACACAGTGGGGCCTGTTGGGGAGGCGGGGAGAGGGAGAGTGTCAGGATAAATAGCTAATGCATGCAGGGCTTAATACCTAGGTGATGGGTTGATAGGTGCAGCAAACCACCATGGCACATGTTTACCTATGTAACAAACCTGCACATCCTGCACATGTACCCCAGAACTTAAAATAAAGAAATCTCTCCCTCCCACCTTTTCTCCCCCATCACTCCATGCAACCATTGGTCTACTTTGTCACTGTGAGTTAGTTTGCATTTTGTAAAATTTTATATAAATGGACACATACAGTATGCACTCTTTTTGTCTGGCTTCTTTCATTCAGCATAATGATCTTGAGACTCATCCATTTTGATGAGTGTATCATTAGTTTGTTCATTTTCATTGCTGAATCATATTCTATTGTATTGCATTCTATTGGATGGGCATACCATATTTGTGTATCCATTCACCTGCTGATGGACATTTGAGTTGTCCTTTGGGTTATCCCAAGGATGCTAAGATTTTCTTTCTTTCTTTATTTTTTTAGAAGTTTTCTGATGTTAGCTCTTACATTTCAGGCCTATGATTCAGTGGTGTTAGGTATTAGCTGAAGTTAACGTTTTTGCATAAGGCTATCTAACCATTCCAGCACCATTTTCTGAAAATATTATTTTTTCCCTAATTGCCTTGGCATCTTTGTCAAAAATCAATTGGCTGTACATGTATGGGTGTATTTTTGGACTCTATTCTATTCCTTTGATATATATATATATGTGGATATATATATGTGGATATATATTTATATGTGTATGTGTATGTGTGTGTGTGTATATATATATGTATCTCTCTCTCTCTCTCTCTATATATATATATATTTATTTATGTATTTTTGAGACAGAGTCTTGTTCTGTTGCCCAGGCTGGAGTGCAGCAGCATGATCTCAGCTCACTGCAACCTCTGCCTCCAGGGTCAAGTGATTCTCCTGCCTCAGCCACCTGAGTAACTGGGATTACAGGCATGTGCCACCATGCCCAGCTAATTTTTGTATTTTTAGTAGAGACAAGGTTTCACCATGTTGGCTAGGCTGGCCTCAAACTCCTGGCTTCTAATGATCCACCCACCTCGGTCTCCCAAAGTTTTGAGATTCCAGGTGTGAACCACCACTCCCGGCCAATGTATATCTTTACATATATACAAATCCACATTGATGATTTTTCTTTACAACAACATTGCACTGTTTTGATCATATTAACTTTCTGAAAACCCTTAAAATCAAGTTGCTTAAGACTTTCAGCTTAGTTCATTTTCAAAATTGTTTTGGCTATACTAAGTCTTTTGTATTTTCATATGCATTTTAGTTTCAGTTTGTAAATTTCTAACAGCAACAACAAAAAATCTTAGCTAGACACAGTGGCAAGCACCTGTAGTCCCAGCTACTCAGGAGGCTGGGGCAGGAGGAATGCTTGAGGCTAGCAGTTCAAGATCAGCCTGGCTAACATAGACCTAGTCGCTAAATAAATAAATAAATTATAAATGAATAAATAAAATAAGAATTAAAAATTTTGCTGGGGTTTAAATTAGGATTGGGTTGAACCATCGGTCAATTTTAGAAGAACTGACACTTTAATGATATTGAATCCTCTGATCCATAAGCATGGCTTATCTCTTCATTTGTTTAGGTTTTCTTTAAGTTCTCTCAGCTGTATTTTGTGTTTTCAGTGTACATATCTTGCACGACTTTCACTGGACTTATCTCGACGTAGTTCATATTTTTTGATGCAACAGTAAATGGTATGTTTTAAGTCATGTCATGGTTGTTCATTGATAATATTTAGAAATAACATTGATTTTTATATATTGGTCTCGTATTATACAACCTTGCTAAATTCACTTTTATAAATTCTTATAACTTTTTTGTAGATTAGTTAAGATTTTCTACATAGGCAATCGTGTTGTTTGCCAATAAAGATAGTTTTATTTCTTCCTTTTATATCAGTATACCTTTTATTTCTATTTCTTGCCTTTTGCTACAGCTAGGACCTCCAGAAGAAAAGAAAATGTTAATAGAAGTAGTGAGTGTGCATATCCTGCTTGTTTCTAATCTTAGTAGAAAAGAATTCAGTCTTTTCATGATTATGATGTTAGCTGGATGTTTTTCATAGATGCCCTTAATCACATTGAAAAAGCCCCTACTATTCCTGGTTTTCGGGGGGGTTTTGATCATGATTGGATGTTTAATTTTGACAGAAGATTTTTTGATGTTCATATGGTTTTCCTTTTTTTTTTTTTTTAGTGTGGTAAAGTAATAATTGATTTTTCAGTGTTAAACCTTGCATTCTTGGGGATCAACTATTTCATTATGATGTATTATCTGCTGCTAATCCCCATTCAGTGTATTTTTCATCTCAAACATTATTCTTTCATCACCAAAATTTTGATTTGAGTTTTTTTCTTCCATTTCCCTCTTCATCAGTCTCATGCTTTCCTCTCCCTTCTATAGCATATAGGGGATACTTAGAAAGGCCATTTTAATGGCTCTGTCTACTAATTTAGTCATTTTTGTCATTCCTGGGTCTGCTCTTATTGGTTGCATTTCCTCCTGGCCATAAGCCACATTTTCCGCGTCTTTGCCATTTTTGGTTAGATGACAGACATTGTGAACTTTACCTTTTGGGTTCTGTTGTTGTTTGTTTGTCATAATACAGTCCTTTAAATATTTTCAACGTTGTTCTGAGACTCAGCTAAGCAAGTTGGAAATGGCTTGGTCCATTTGAGGCTTGCTTCTCAGCTTTCCCAGGTGAGTCCAGAACAGTCTGGGTTGGTTTGGCCCACCCATCTCAAGGCTCTACTTCATAGTCCACGTGCTAGGAGACCTTTCCCTTCTGACTACTAAGAGCTGGCGTAAGCGCTGAATATCATTCCCTCTGCTTCTTTCTGGAGGTTCTTTTTCTGGCCATAGCAATTTTCTCACTTGCATTAGCTGATGAAGACTCAGCTAGACTGTGGGAGAACCTCTTGCAGATTCAGAGCATTCTCTTTATTCAACCATCTCCTTTCCAGCAATCTGTCCTGTGTGTTCTAGCCTCTGGCCTCCCCAAACTCTTTGCCTCTTCAACCCAGAGAGGCCATCAGCGCCTCTTTGATTCTCCTGCCCAGTGCTGCAGCCTGGCTACTCTGCCCAGCCTTGAACCGGGGCACTTGGAGGGCTCATCTCATCTGCTTCCTTCACTCAAGGATCATGGTCCTTTATTGCCTATGGTCCCATGTCTGGAAACTCTTGCTTCGCGTATTTTGTCTGGTTTCTATTCGGCTGAGGCGAGAAGTAGACGTTCTGTCCTTGTTTTTCTGTTTTATTTTTTTTGCTTTCAGAGACAGGGTTTTACTCTATCACCTAAGCTGGAACGCA